CTTTTTTTATAATCCACGATAGATTTTTTTTTTTTTTTTTGGTAATCCATGATCGAATTTTTTGTAATCCATGATAGAATTTTCTGTAATCCATGATCGAATTTTTTGTAATCCATGATCGAAATGTTTTTTTTTTTTTCTTGTAATCCATGATCGAATTTTTTTTTTTTGTAACCCATGATTGAATTTTTTGTAATCCATGATCGAATTGTTTTTTTCTTTTTTTGTAATCCACGATCGAATTTTTTGTTTTTTTATGTTTTTTTTTTTGTAATCCATAATCGAATTTTATGTAATCCATGATCGAATTTTAGGTAATCCATGATCGAATTTTTGAAAATTTGTGATTTTTTTTTTTTAATCCATGATCGAACTTTTTGAAAATTTGTTAATTTTGTTTTGAAAATTTGAAGAAAGTGATGAGCAGCATGAAAGATGAAGCAACCAATCAACGTATCCACAATTCGTCGGAGATGTCGATGATATTGTACCTAATGAAAGAGAGTGGGAAGAGGGTCTAAGAGAAAATGAGAGAGATGATGATTCTGAGGCCACCCTATCCCAACCATTTTATTCACATATCGAGTCCCAACAGCAACAGTATAGGGATGAACACGACAATGCAGGTGAGCATGAAGGATGGACAAGCTTCGGGGATTTTGGATTGGGATCACAACAAAACACTAACACTCAGGGATTTGAGAATAGTTAGACGCCTACTAATATCGATGATTCGTTTTTAGATCGAATCAATGAATTGTCAAACGAATTCAATCAATGGCACCAGCGTGACCAAGAAGAACAACAACGTCGTCTATCATTTTATTTTCAGATCGTATATTACTAATTTTATGCTTTATTGTAGTTCATGTATGTTGATATACTTATTCCATGATAATTATATGTTTATCCTTTTGTGTGATATAAATTAAATTCTGAATGACAGTTCATGCAGGAAAAGAACATATCAATATTCGCATATTCATTCAAAAACATGAAAATTCTTAATAGAGTACCTTCATTTCTTATTGAATTCCTAAAAAACAATATTTATAATGAATTTTAATAATTTTTTCGAATTTTTTTGAAGCTTTATTCTGACCGATTCACCCGATTCTCGATCCGAATCGCGGATTCGTCAATCCGGATCGGTTTTTTGTGTGCCCGATTTGGGTCACCGATCCGTTTTTTAAACCATTAATCTAACCTATTGGACCAATCAGTAGTCAAATCTTGATAACGTTGGTGTAGTTCCTCCACTAATCAAATTTCCCATCCATACCTGAGGAATTCACAGTCATTTTTCTTGATCGAGTGTTTCTTTCGGATGTATTTTCTTTCATAAAATTTTTTGCAGGTTTTTCCTCAAAGGAAAAAACAAAGTGACTAAAGTGAGCATAATACCTTTGATTACCAATTAGTTGACTTTTACATTCATAAGAGCAATTTGATTTTCAAAAAATCCTAAAAACAAATATAGGAATTGTATTTGTTAAATCTCAAAGTTCCCATTACTGTCTTCATATGATTAATGTGCTGCAACTTACCAAGATAAAAAAATAGCAACAAATCAAACTTCATAAATTTACAAAACCTCAATTGATTTCAAGAACTTGACCTTCCAAGTAAAAATAAATTATTACGAAAATGCAGGAACTTGAGATTACATACAATTTGAAGAACTGCTTGCCAAAGCTGCACGAGATTTTCGAACTCCCAAACGTAAGACCATGATCTATCTTTCTTTTTTTTCTTTTTTTTTTTAAATTCCTTTTTTTTTTTGGTTATTTCAGATAAGTACAATGCTCTAGATTTCCACCAATGGCTATCTCAAACTGAGGTCAGGATCATCTTCATCATCTATATCCTGCTCATTTGAAGGCCTGATCCTCTTGCCGTCCCTTGGAGCTGATCTGCCCTTCTTAGGCTTTCCCCTGTTATGAGCCGAGTTTTCTTTTCAGGAATACAAGCCCAAATTTTAATCACAAGCAAATAAGTTGAAAAATAGTTGAAATATCAATGGCACCCAATTTTTTTTCCTTATTTTTTGAAGCACAACCCAATAAAGAATTTGCTGAACTAATCGATCCTGATTTGTTCTCTTAAATTGAATCACAAAATATTAAAAGAAGATTTAATTGAAATAATTATTTATTCGTGATGTTAGTGTGGGATTCAAATGACCAACATTTCAGAACCATCTAGTTGTACAAGTCTCAACAACAAGTAAATAACTTACTGTCCATTTGCTGGTGTTCCTGAACCCTTTGATCTACCAAAACCATAATCTCCTCTTCCATCTATCATGTGTAACAAAAACAAAATATTTAAATAGTCATAGCAAGATAAAAAAGTCATCAGCTATAGATAAAACTGGTTTCAGCATAACTTCTCACCATCTCTTCCAGCCACATGTTCTTCTACCTGATACTGATCAAATGGAACATGTTAGAAACCACAGACCCTGCACAAACCCCTAACTAACAGCTTGGCTACAAAGCCTTGGCCTAGAAGTTGTGTCAATTACAAAAGGGATGCATATAAATCCCTATAAACTTCTCATACAAAAGGGAAGTACTATAGTCTTTTCAAAATTACCAAATAAATAACCCATGTTGACAAGAATCAGATAAAAGCAGTGTTTTAAAAAACGGTGATTCGGATGGTCAATGGGAACTTTTGAGATTTAACAAATTCAGTGGGTGGGCGATCTGGGTCCCTGGACCCCGAAATCACCCAATTCCCATTATCTTTTTATTTTTTACTATTATTTTTACCAATTCCTACTTATTCCCTAGATCAAAATTGTCGATCGAGATCATAACAACAGGTGACAGAATGGGCAATCTGATCCGGGTTTTAAAACACTGGGTAAAACCAACACAACACAACAAAAACTTGGAGAGCTAGAAATGATGCCCATATATATGAATTTAATCTGGATAGAGACCTGCAAAATTAGAAACCAAGGCCTTTGCTTTTTTTGTTAAAAGTAACAATTTAGAACCTGAGATTTTTTGACATCTCTATGTCAGAGAAAAACAGGTGACAGAATGGGCAATCTGATCCGGGTTTTAAAACACTGGGTAAAACCAACACTTTCTCAATTTGAATTTGTCTTTTTCTAATCCAGCATAAAATGTTTTTTTCAGTGCCGTTATTCAACAGCGCGGCTGTCGCTCCCTAATAGATGAATCTTTGGTTGAGAGAGCAAGCTATTCCTCCGCGGATTGGAGCTTGAATCTTCTTTTATACTAC